TAAACTGTTTGAAATAGGCATATACCACCAGTTTGCATTACTGCAAATTGCCTAGTAACAGTGAATTCAGTGAGAAACGTTCCCACACAAGTAGGTTCCCACGATCAGGAGAAGCATGAGAGAAGCAGACACAAGGTCAATCACATACAGTAGTCTTCTCTTTAAACGCCGCCAACTCAGGAATGTAGACGCTCCAGTGTCTGATCTGATTCTTTGAACGCCGCCTTCAGGAATGTAAACGCGCTGCTGCTCCGCAAGAAGGGAATAGCCGACTGCCTTGTTCAGCAATATAAACATGTGCCATAGTTTAACCATTTTAAAAACATAATAATATATATAATAATACAAACATGTATTAAATTCATATAGCCTACACAGTAAAACACAATGCCGTAGCATACGTTGTTGTGGCATCACGTGATCGCCACAACGAACTTCTTCAACTGCGGCTGATCCAAGTCAGTGTTTTTGCATGCTGTATTGTGCGGGCTGGGCAGGCACGTGGGAATTAGAAAGTTGGACAAAAGGTACTTGTTTTGATAGGTCAATTCGAACATCGCACAATATAATCTGGGTAGCAAGGTTACTGGCGATTGCTTTCTCTTCTATAAAACCTACAGGTAACGGTAGGGCTTAGCCTACTAAAATACAAGAAACATTGAGGTTTCCCCAACAAGAAAAATAATTAAATTTAGGCCTTTATTATAAACATTTCTTCGTAAACTGTCACCTAGCGTAGGCTAGCATTTTACTACCAGGCTACTACTATTATAAATATAGGCCTAGGCCTACATAGCCTAGGTACACGGTAGGGACACTGAACAAGTTTTGAAGTTGTTTAAATCACGATCAAATTCCAAATTTCGCTGAACGCGTTTAACATTTTGCCATTCACGAGCAGTCAGCCATATGAAAAGGGGAGGAGTTAACTTCCAAACGGAATAAACGGCTCGAACGACAAGCTTCCAAACGGCATTTCACAGACGCGTTTGGGAGCTTGTCATATAACAATAGTAAACGTGTTTGACCCGTTTCTGTCGTTGGGGATAATTTGTAGATCGCGCCTTTAATCATGTCGTAACTTCTGTGATAGCTTCAGCTTCTTGTGATTGTATAGTTGCAATGCTGTTAATATTCTACTTTGATCAAGTTCATTTTCTGCATGTCAGCACAACCTAGTAGCTCAGTAACATCACGATCAACAACTTGAAAACGAACTTTGTATTTTTGCACTGTTTTAGAATGTATCAGCTTTAAATCACACTCACCTAGTGGTCGCATTTTTGTTTTGTTGTAAGTCACGAGGGTGGTGTTTGAATTTTTAATTGACGTACCAGTGGGGACGCTGCTAACATGAAGTACATTACATGTTGCTCCAGAATCAAGTTGTAGTCGGATACGCTTGGATGTGTCCTTTATGATGAAGGATGCAACTATCTTATCTTGCTTAGTTGCGTGTGCACTGACTGTATGAACCATATTAATTTCGGAATCTTCAAAATCAGAGTTACCATCAGCATTAGCAACTGCAGTATGTAGATTATGTACTTTAAAGGAGTATGTTGTTGACGAGTACGCCATGTTTTATTTTGCATAGCCTTGTTGCGACATTGTGGAGCGAAATGATGCTTCCCGAAACATTTAGAACATACTTTGTTGTATGCTGGGCATTGACGAGGACCACATGCTCTACAGTTAGTAATCATTATGGTTTTATTAACCTGTGCGGAATGACGCATGCTAATTGCTCAGTGGCAGTTTGTGATACCTGTAAAGCAGCAGTAACCGACTTCAGGGTAATGTCCTGTTGTCTAAATAGCCTGGCTCTAGCAGCTGCATCTTTGGTTCCTATGACTACCATGTCTCTTATGAGCACATCATTTAACTCACCAAACTTGCATGGTTCAGCTAAAATTCGAAGCCTATGTAGATATCCTTCAGTAGACTCTGTCCAATTGCTAAGCCTTAAAAATTACATAGCGATAATAGACGACATTTCTTGCAGGTTGATTTCGTCAAGTTTTGAAAAGATTGTGGCTACGCTATTGAGCTCGGCATCGCTCTGCTTCAGCGAATCTAGCCTCTTACGCATGTCTAAACCCATTACTGTTTTCAAAGTGGCTGCCTGCACATTCTCGGGCTTCTCGGATAGACCGGTTGCTAAGCAGTAGTCGGTGAACTTGCTTTTGTACGTCTTCCAGTTTTCCCCTTATTTTCAATTGAGGAGGAGGAGGTAGTAGAAGACTCGGGTTCTGTGGTGTTTCTGTTGCCATACTGAATGGTTTACACCGCTGCCACCATGTTACTTTATGCATTTTTGATAGCAAAATAAATGCTCATGAAACAACATAATTTCAGTTTACCATGTTATTTTATTCCTCACTTCCATCGCTCCACACAAAGAGGGTGGTAGATAGAATATTGTTAAGGATGAATGTGGTATTATTGCCTAACAGTAAGTGCATACACTGCCATAAGAATCTTATGATCTATCCTTCCTAACAACATTGTATCTATTTATTTTAATTTCATTCTGTAATACCGATTCATCTAACCGCGTTTCACTTATTGATAGAATAGTGGACTTAGATTTCTCTACTAATAATTTACTTCCGATAGCTTGGGTAACAGTGACCGCACATTTGTGGCGATGTCAAGCCAAAACGGTCGGAAGTCGCTAAGACGATTTTAAGATATAAAAGCAAAACAATAGACAAGGTCAAATTTGCTCATTTTGGTGTTTAATTCAAAAAATGTATATTAAGTATCTAAGAATAGGATTCAAATAATATTTTTCACATTTAAGTACCCAAAATACTGTAAAATGTGATTTTAGTTAGACACTCGAACCCGGAAGTATGAAAAACGAAGGCAAATCATCGTTTAAAATACTCACGAAATTACTGTTTTTTTCAATCGTATTCCGGGGTCAACCTCGTGTCAAGTTGGAAAGCTTAGAATGTCTGCACCTAATGTCCAATCAGTAAGTGTTCATCCCCGTGATTTAAGTCAAAATGGATTTGCTTTTCACCCTTATTTTTTACTTTATAATATGGCTTCGATTCCATCTAATATCCCAAAGTTATTTCATGAATTTAACGCAAATTGACTGCTAATATTTTGACACTAAGTCAAACGCAGCAGGGCAGCACCGCTTTTGTGGATGGACTTCAGTTAATCGGCCAACCAAAGGAGCGTGATCAGCGGGAGCTCGTTTTATGGTATTTATGCAAATGACGTTTACCACATGCCTGCTTTACAACTACCTATCGTGGACCAACGGAAATTGAAGCCTGTAAAAATATGACGTAAATTTGGATGCTTACGAACTTATTATAACAACCATACAGCAACCTTTCACACAACGTTAATGACGAAGGAGATATAAATCCTAATACTGGACCTGAAAGAAAACTATGTTCAGTGTATGATAAGCCTGTCGCTAAAATTAACAGAGCTTTTAGCTGTTCTAAATGAAACCAAGAATGTCATATTAAGTGCGGAAAAATAAGTAACAAGCAGTATCGTGAGTTTTTTTTTTTAATTGTTCAAAGAAACTCATACCAAAAATGCCTATTTAATGAATTATCTTTACAAGTTAATGATGGCACTATATTATATTGTCAAAGAGGTGCAACTCAACCAAAACTGTTAGATAAATCAATCAGTCTCTCAAGAAGTGTATTGCTGAGCTAAGAAACTGGATGGCCAAGAACTTTCTGAAACTTAACGATGAGAAGACAGAATTCATTGTTTTTGGGTCTCCTCAACAGTTGAAGAAATGTCAAGATCTCAATATTACTATCGGAGGATATCGGATAGAACATACACCACATGTAAAAAACTTTGGTGTTTTTAAGATTCAACGAATTCAAAGCGAATTAGGAAGTACCTTTCAAGAGATGCTACGGAGCAAATTATACATGCATTCGTCACTTCATGTCTCGATTTTGGAAATTCCATTTTTATTGGCTTGCCGAAGAGTTCTTTACACCGTCTCCAGTTGCTGCAGAACAGATCCGCCAGAATTATAACTGAGACGAGGAAATTTGACCACATTACTCCAATTCTACAACAATTGCACTGGCTGCCTGTGTATTATAGAGTCGTTTTTAAGATCCTTTTAATCACGTATAAAACGCTAAACGGTGAAGGTCCAGAGTATTTACGTAGTCTCTTGGTGAGGCATGTGCCATCACGGAATCTTCGTTCAGGTGATAGACGATTGCTGGTTGAGCCCAGGTCCATGAGGTCATGGGGTGACAGATATTTTGTAGTTGCGGCCCCCCGTTTGTGGAACAGATTACCTCTTGAAATAAGATCAAGTTCGTCGACTACTTTGTTCAAACGTGCTCTGAAAACACATCTATTTTTTTTTGTTGCTCAAGGAAATTAATTTATTGTGAATTGATTTTTTTTAATTTTGTTCTTTAATTTATTTAGTTAGATGCCCACAAAACTGAGAACACCTGTGAGTTATGTACTAGCCGGTCTTTGCACCTTAAATTGCTGGTAAACGGAAGCAGTGATGTGGGTTATGGTCGTTTTTCTGGTAGCCTTTAGTTTAAAAGGATAAGCTTTTTCATGGTTTTCACAAGCGCCTTGAGCACTTTAGTGGAGATGTGTGCTTAATAAATCTTTTTATTATTATTATTATTATTATTATTATTCATTTTGTTGAGAGACCTCACATTTCTCACATATAGTAAAGTGAAGGAGCTGAGCTGGAAGCCAAGAGGTATAAAGAAAATTCATAACATTCGTAGAAAAGTTGGTAACAGACAGAAGGCCTATAGAGATAAAGAAAGAATACATTAAAGAACCATATGCAGCAGAAAAAAAAGCCAAAACTATCTCCCTTAGAAGAAGAGAAAGAAGTAAGCCATGAGCAAATGGAGACCAGCGATAATTAAGAATGAGGTAGATAAAGCAATGGAACATCTAAAGAAAAGAAAGGCGCCTTGAGCACTTTAGTGGAGATGTGCGCTTAATAAATCTTATTATTATTATTATTATTATTATTATTATTATTATTATTATTATTATTATTATTATTCATTTTGTGGAGAGACCTCACATTTCTCACATATAGTAAAGTGAAGGAGCTGAGCTGGAAGCCAAGAGGTATAAAGAAAATTCATAACATTCGTAGAAAAGTTGATAACAGACAGAAGGCCTATAGAGATAAAGAAAGAATACATTAAAGAACCATATGCAGCAGAAAATAAAGCCAAAACTATCTCCCTTAGAAGAAGAGAAAGAAGTAAGCCATGAGCAAATGGAGACCAGCGATAATGAAGAATGAGGTAGATAAAGCAATGGAACATCTAAAGAAAAGAAAGGCTACTGGCGTGGATGAGATTCCAGGTGAGATAATAAAATTTCTAGGGGAAATTGTAAGGGAAGCATTTACAAAGCTGAGAAATTCCATCTACAAACATGGAACATGGTCTAGTTATCACGTTTCCAAAGAAAACAAACAGAAAATGTGAAGAATATAACCATCAGTCCTATCTCACATGCTTCCAAAATAACTTTGATAGTACTATGTGAAAGACTGTTAAGTAAGAGAAGAGGATTAATAGGTAGAGACAAATTTGGATTTATGAAAGTGCGAAGCACAAGCAGAAATGCCAGTGCAGTAATCAGAGTCAAATGTGAGAGGTCACTTAAGTATGATATGGATGTCTACATTTGTTGAACAGATTTTGAAAAGGCATTCGATAGAGTAAAATTAATCAAACTTGTTGTTAATGGTAGGAATTGATTTGAGAGATAGAAGAGTAATCTGAAACTTGTACATGAACCAATCTGCATCAGTCCAAGTAGAAGGTAATTTAACGGAACCACTGATATGAAGAGGTGTTAGACAAGGTGGAGTTTACCAGGTAACCAGAGTATCGCGTCAGGGAAAAAGAAGATGAAAGCAAGTTGATGTATTCTGCTACCAGGGAAGTTAATGTATTCTGCTACCAGGGAAGTCTTATAGCAGAGCTGATGATGGTCGATGTGAAAAAGATATAAGGTAAAGAATTGGAATTGCAAACTCCAATTCTGACCAGCAATATTTATATCAATGTCAGAAAACAGCTTGTGAAAGTATTATTCTGGAGTACTGCATTATGTGCAAGTGAAACCTGGACTCTGAACTAAGGTGGATAGACAGGAGGCTTTTGTGATGTGGTGCTGGAGGAGAAATAAGGAAATAGTCCGGTGCCCAAAGTCAAACAATGTTACAGTAGCGTATACAAATTTGCCCTTTGGCATGGTGGTAGAACGTGATATTGGGGTACCAGATCCAAGTTACTAGAAATCTTATTTACCCTATGTGACATTTGACCTCAATTTTTTTTTATTAAACCATGAAACTGCCATATCTCTGTAATGCTTTGGTCTACTGAAATAATCTTGTCAAATTGCTCAGAATAGATACATTTATATTCGCTCTATTACAATATTTTGCGTGAAACCCAATTCTTATCGTGATTTTTCATAAAAATCATGTTTTTGTGCAAAAATATAAATGGTCATATCGCTGCAACGCTTAGGTCTATCTAAATTATTTTGGTGTCAAACTGTTC